GGTTTGTGCGGGGAGAAGGGTGCAACAATGAATGAATGGAATCCCAAAATCTCTGTAGATGTTCATTGAAATGAAAAATAAACAACCTAAATTAAAAACAAAAAATCAAAAGATATATTACATTGGGAAACTCTGCTGTCAAGAATCTGCCCAAAGCTCTAAAGAGCAAGGGTATAAGTTTAAAGACTAAGGTACACCCAATCTGAGTTAGAATCAACTCGTACTGCCAATTTTTCTTTTTTTACATAGTGGAAGAATATATTTTTTTAATGTAATAAAACATTTTGTTCTTGTTAGGTGTCGTTACATCAACTATGATTCATAGCAACACTATGAACAATTGATCTGAACCTTGCCCTATCCTGTGCCATCCTCATCATCCTTGATATACTCCAGCCCATTATTACAGTTGCTGTTAATCCATCTCGTTCAGGGTCCACCTCTCCTTCGCTGACCCTCTACCTTTCCCAGCATGTCTTTTTTCAAGGGCTGGCCCTTCCTAGTAGCATGCCCCAAATATGTACACATAAGTGTCACCATTCTTGCCTCTATGAGCACCTTGATGCACTTTTTCCAAGGCAGACTTGCTTTTCTTTTTTTTTAGCCCATGGCATATTTAGTACTCCAACATAACGCAAAGGCACTAAGTCTTGTCATCCTTATTCACTGTCCAACCTTAAGATAGAAAGTAAATTAAAAGACCACGGCTTTAATCAGATAGCCCTTAGTCTTTAAATTGACACTGTTGCTGCTAAGCTCCTTGGAGAGGTACTTGCCAGCAAATTAACCGTTACCAATTCAACATGTCTTTTATTTCCTGACTGCTGCTCCCAACAATGGTGATCTAAGCAGGTGAAATAGTTGACAACTTCTTTTCTCTTTCTACCATGATGTTGTTTATTGGCTTAGTGATAAGAATTTTTTTGAAGAGGAGATACAATCCATATTGAAGGCTGTAATCTTTTATCTTCTACAGCAAGTGTTTCAAGTACCCCATGTAAGCAAGGGAGTGTCTTTTCCATAATACAGTTGTTGAGGAGTCTTCAAATGCAGCTCCTAATTGCTTAGCATATAGACTGAATAAGTATAAATGATGCCACCTTGACCCACACCATATAGTGTTCCCTTCAGACATCAGCTTCTTTGTCTAGGTACAGATTTCTTATGAGTACAACTAAGTGGTCATTCTTCTCAATGTTAACAATGGTTATGATCCATGGAGTCAAATGCTTTTGTATATTCAATAAAACACAAAGACATCCTTCTGGTAGTCTCTGCTTTTAGCCAAGAGCCATCTGACATCTGCAATGATATCCCTCCCTAATGCCACAACCTCTTCTAAACCCTGCTTGAACGTTAGTGTGTGCCACACTTCTAGATCTAACTTAAACGTCTGGCAGTTCTCTGTTCATGTACTGTTCTAGCCATTTTGGAATAATCTTCAGTCATATTTTACTCACATGTGGTTATTAGTGAAATTGTTCAATAATTTTCACTTTCTGATGGATCACCTGTTTAGATGGCTAACTTCCAAAGCTCTTGGCACAGTATGGTGAGCACATCTAGGGCTGCATCTGTTTGTTGAAATATGCCAATCCTATTAATTGCTGGGGGTCTTATTTTTTGCCAATGCTTACAGTGCAACTTCAACTTCTTCCTTCAGAAGAAGGTTCTGACCAAAATATGGACCTTCCTAAAATGATTGTATCAGAACTACTGGTTCTTGATCATATATGAACCTTCCTGAAATGATTGTGACAAGAAATTCTTTTTGTATTCCTGCCGTCCTTTTTTTATGCTTCCTGGATCATTACAGATGTTGTGCTTAGCATAAATCATTTTAGGGCTACAATATGTGAATATATGGAATGTGAAATAATGGAATGGTTCACCAGCAGCACATGAGCCCTGCTGGCCCAGCAGATGAAGAACCTGGTTGCTAATCAAAATGCTGGTAGTTTGAATTCAGTTCTTTTCTATCCTGAAGGGTTGCTATGGGTCACAAGTCAGAACTGACACAGTGGCAACGGATTCACCCTCCCCTCCTACTATTAGTGAAACAGGAACTCTGTAATTCCAAAACTATAACCTTATAAGTGCTCAAAATAGTCTATAGACAAAAATCTACACTTAATGTGACTTTTTGAGATTTATACAGGTATGAACATTATTTCTGAGTCTACCCTCTATGTTGGCCTAGTGGAAAGGAAGCTGTGCTACCAAGCTGAAGGTGGGTGATTTTCATCTGTGGCCCTCAGCCAGGTTCAAATTGTCTTCCTGTCAAACATTGTTCTAGGTGGTATAGCACTGGTCTGTGCGTTGCTGTACAGAGGTAACTCGTGGTTGCCGTGATGCAGAAGACTGTGACAGTGAGTCGTCTACGACTCTCGACGGCATTAAACAACAACAACAACCCTCTGTGTTACCTGTCTTGACTGGAAGGAGCTTTTGGAAAATGAGCTTACCATCTGCTTGTCAGAGAAGGTGGAGCGGTTGTGGACTAGCACCATGCTATGGGTTGTGTGGCAGTGGTCACACACGCTGGGCTCAGCGATGCGGCCCCGATCGATCTCGACATGGGCTGTATGTGAGCACACCTGGCACTGGAAGAAGGCCTCCTGCATCTCTGGAATCAACTGGGAGGTTCTGATCACCATGCCACTTATGGTGATGAGCTGATCAATGTCTGTAGAGAAAAGAAAGAGGTCTAGCCTTAAAGCCAGCCCTACCCAGAAGAGCCTCTCCTTTGGTCCAAGGAGAACCTATTAGTGCAGGTTTGACAGGCATACAGATAACTGGCTCCCTGAGGCAGCTGAGCTCTGGACAGCTTCCTTTTGTTTTAGTCTGGGACCATGTGTGGAAGACCAGATATTTCTCGCTAGACTCAAAGTTACCCCTCTTCTTCACTTCAGAACACAAGCTACAATAACCAATCGTGGTAATGGGCACCCATGGTGGACAGTGTTGGCTGGAGCTTCCCGACTAAATCAAGCCTGGAAGCAGCAGCGGCATCCACTTCTGAAATGGCTTGCCTCCGGAGAAACTCTTATGTACGAACAGTGCTCAGGCCGTTCGTTCATAGGATCGCTATGAGTCGTCTAGGACTCGAAGGCATCAAACAACAACTTCCCTCTACTCACCTTTTTGGGAACGACTCACTGTATGGTAAGAACACTAGATCCAAAGTCACATGACTGGATTCAAATGTGGATTCTTTCCCAGAGTGTGTGACTCTGGGAAAACCCCTCATCTTCTACCTCACTGTCCTCAAACAGGAAATGAGGATGACAGCAGTGTTCACCTCCAAAGTTGCTGAGCCCAAAAGGAACAATGCCTGGCACTGTGTAAGCACCTTACAGCATAATCACCATTAAGAACACATACAGCCATGCTCTTTCTGCTAATACTTTCTTTAGCCAGGTGCTGCTGTCAGGTATCATATCATGCTCTTTAGCACAAATCTCCTTTTTTGTGTGTGCTTAGCAGTAATCTAGTCATGTTGTTGTTGTTATGTGCCGTCGAGTCACTTGAGACTCCTAGTGACCCTATCTAGTCATACTATGCTTCTTATATTTACATTCTGAGCTATATTTCCCAATAACCCAAAATTATAAGCATCTATCTATGTTCTAAAGTGAGCCCCTGCCCCAATTCCTTGACTTCTAAACACAACTCTCCTGGTAATCCTTTAAGTATCAACACTCTACCTCTGAAATGTATTCCTCCAAAGCACAGAGCTGCTCTGCTTCTTGCATTATCACTACAGCACATCTCACCAGTCATGTCCTAGGCAAAGACCAGCAGCCTCCTCCCACTTACTAGCCTCCATAGCTTGGATTTCACCATCAAACAGAAACTGAAATGTTAATAGCCCACACTTGTATTTGAACACTCAGTCACAAAACCTTTTACTATTCTTTTCCTTCTTCTATCTGGTCTAAATAGATTCAGTCATGACTAAGAAAAATTAATGGTTATTAAAAACTAATACTTTTCTACTGCACATATGGCTCTGCATATTTGAAACGTTTTCAGAATCACTAGCAAAAACATCAGTACCCCTTTAACACACTGGAAAGAAGCAACATGCAAATTGGCCCTCCCTCACCTTTTCTCCTCAGGATTCTGACCATCCTATTTCCACTCATCTTTCTCAGAACTCCCTTGTTACCATCTCTCACTTCTCTCTCATGATCAAGGCCACCAAGAATAGCTATTTATTTTTGTGTTTTTGTTCCTCATGAAGGATCTCCCTTCCCATAGAATAACAACTCTGCGTGTATCCTGAACCTTGTCAAGTCTTGCATCTTTAAGGCTCTGCTCTTCTTCAGTAAGCCTGTTCATATCTAGTTATTTGTCTTGCCTATCTATGTTTTTTCTTGTGTAACTCATTCTTAACTTTAAAGCTGATTTTCAGATCCCACCTAAGATTCTCAACCTTGAGGACCACAATGACAATAAATGGTAATAATTTTCACCTAGATGGCATTGTTGCCCCAAATCAAACTACCAAAATAGTCACATAGCTATGATTTTGTCTTCACTGATAAAGATGACTTAAATCATGCCCTGCTGCTGGTGTGATGTGGTTAGGCACTCAGCTGCAAACCAACCTCAATAGCTGTTCTGTGGAGAATACTGTGGCAGTCTGCTTCATAAAGATTAGTTTTAGAATCTTATGAGGCAATTCTAACCTGCACTATAGGGTTTTAAGTCAGAACTGAACTTAATAGCAGTGTGTTTGCAACAAATGGAGGAGCTCCAGTGGTGCAGGGGTTAAATAACTTGGCTGTTATCTGAGAGGTTGTAGTTTACCTTGGAAACTCTTAAGGGGGTAGCAATTTTACTCTGTCCTTTGGGATCACCATGGGTTGAAATCTACTCGATGGCAAAGAGTTTGGTTATAAGAACGAAATGATTTTCTTAATCAATGAAGTAGAATACGTGCTCCTGGCTCTTGCTTCCTTTTACTGAATATTTTTTACATCCTCAGTACATACATCTAAGTTTGTTGTTGTTGTGTAGCGTAGAGTCACATCCAAACAGTAGCTAAACCTCCTGCAGGTTTTCAGAGGCAGCTGATCTCACAGGAGGAAACTGTCAATCCTTCTCCTGTGGGGCAGTGGTGGCCTCAAACTGTGTGCCTTTGGGATTGCATCTCAGGAGTATTTCATTCTTAATGTGTACTTTTATCTTCATACTTGACAAACACCTTATTTATTTTTTACACGTACATGTGTGCGTGTATGATAATAATGGATGTTGTTGTTGACGGCACTTAACAACATCCAGTATTATCATACACATATGCATATACTTACATAAAAAAACACATGGTAGTATTATCACCTATTTCTTGGTTAGGATGCTGTTTCACACTTGAGCTACTATTAAGTCTACTAGGCTTCAAACCCTCCTATACATTAGAACCCCATGAACTTCTCAATAGTGTTTTCCCAAGTGTCACCTTCTCCAAAATAATCCTTGCTATCAGAGCTCTGGGGCCTCAGTGGGTAAGGAGTTGTGTAGCCAACCCAAAGGCATCAGTTCAGATCCACCAGATGGGCAATTTCCTGTCAAGAGATTTACAGCCTTTGAAAGAAAACCCGCTTGTGGGTCAGCAATGAGCTCTGACTTGATAGCACAAAACAATACCATTGCTTTCAGAATAAAAATCCAGATTAGGGGGAGCAGGGCTGGGCAGGGAGAAAAGTGCAACAATGAATGAATGGAAATCCAAAATCTCTGTAAATGTTCATTAAAATTAATAAAATAAAATAAAAAAATCCAGGTTAAGTTAGTATTCAAGTTTTCAGTCACCAAGGCTTTTCAGCCTCTTCCTCAAACCCCTTATCTGCCTCCACACACATACAGACCTGTCTATATGCCTCTTTTTGCACTGTCTGGAATGAAGTCCACCCCCCTTATTTTTACTTTCCATATAATAACTCTAACATCTGTTCCCAAGTGTTGAGGACTCTCCTTCATAGGGTCGCTATGAGTCGCCTGCAACTCAACGACACTTCACAACATCTCTTCCACACTGAAGACGTTCCAGTCAGTGCTCTGCTCCTGATCTGAGACAACTAACTGTACTGTTCTCCAACTTATTTCACAAAGAGGTTTCTTTTTCAAGTTTAAAGACAGATATTCTGTATTTGCTTCCTAAAGCAAAACTCTAAGAAAGTACCTACTTATTAGAGTAACAGGTAAAAGAGACAGGGTAACTTTTATGGCCACAGAAAAACTTTCAGCTTAAGAAAAGAAAGATATAATGAGCTTGCTAGTGTACAGGGTAACTGAATTTGCTGTCATTTGGTCAGTTTTGACCTTGATCACCACCCCCCTCTGCCCACTTCAATCTTACTGACACTTTTTTAAAATTCTTTAATGAAATCAGATATTATTTTCAAGTAAACTATTTTTCTATTAAAAATATTACCTTCTGGATTAAGATTTCTCATATTCTTAGTCTTCAGTGCATTGAATGGTCTTACTTGAATCTGATGTTCTAATATTGAGTCAGGGTAACGATCAAAGAAGATCTCATTGACAGCCATGTCAAAAGTTGGGATAACTTCCTATAAAATAAACATGAAGGTACTACGCTTATACTTTTATAATAAAACCTTTCATAATGCATAAAAGACAAACATGTAAACAGCCGCTTGTCTTTAAGTAGTAGGTTAGTAGGTGAAACCCAGCAGGTGCCTCAAAGGAGGAAAAGGTGAGTTTCCTATAAAATTTTACAGCCTTGAAAACCCTATCAGGCATCCCACCCTCTCCTATAGGTTCTCTATGCCTTGGAATTGACTCAATGGTTAGCTGTAGGTTTTATGTATACATATATAAGCCCATTATAAACCTTTGTCAACAGAACTGTCTTACCTCAGCACATTGTCATTGGCTGTTAAATATACATGAAAGTGCCTCTGCAACAGTCATAATTTTGGATTTTTAAGAAAATAATTAATGGTTATACGATCATGCTTTAACTTTTCTCCAAAAAAAAAATCATACAACAGAATAAATTAAGTCATAGTCTGCTTGTATTTTGTGGATGAAGAAAGTTTCTTGGAGGCTAAGAAACTTGAGCAAGGCTTCAAAACTAATACATAGCCATGCCAAGACTAAAAAGCAATTCACCATGTTTCTTAAAGTTTACGTCTATCTCATTTAAAATACTCAAAACACAAAAATCTCTAAGTTGGAAAAAGATTATAAAAGTTATCCCGGAAAAATGACAAATACAAGGCGTTTATAAAAGATCTTCACTGAAGGGAAGTTCCAACTTTAGGGAGCTCTGGTGGCCTAGTGGGTAGGGAGCTGTGTTGTCAAGAGGTTTGAATCTACAAGAAGCTCCAAGGGAGAAAAGATACACAATCTCCTGTGCAATTAGTCTCTGAAAACCCACTGTAAGTTCAGCTATGACTCAACAGCAATGAGATTCACCATTACTGTATACATTTTAAAGACAATGAAACTGCGACATGTTACTAGTATTAACACTACCCCATCTTCAGAAGTGTTAATGTCTAAGAGAGTTTATCTTAAAATAGATGAAACACTTTTCTTTACACACTCTGGTACTGTACAGCCAGATTCTCTCTATCACTAAAGAACCTTTATTCATCATTTCTACGTTTACAACTCTGTCAACATCAAAGCTAAATTCTTACCTGAGGGTAGCAGAGAAGTTGCCTATATAACGTTTTGTCAAATGATTTTATGTGTTCACAGTTTACATTTAAAAATGGCTCCCCAATAACATTAATCTGTAAAACAAATCAAATGGAATTTTCTAAGCTTCAGTAGTTTAAAAAAAAAAAAAACTATTAGAATTTATAAGCAAGATCATCTGATTACCTCTGCGAGCCTTTGCATGTACAGAGGCTCATTAATATCCATGCCAATATTGTCGTCTTCTTTAGCCAGAGGGTCAATAAAACGCTGAAGAAATCTCTTAATATTTGGGGGAGGAGGGGAGGAAAGCCAAACCAAAACACATATTTTAGAATAATTTACCACTCATTACTATTCAAAACACAGAAACTTACAAGTCTATCACCTTTTGAAGATAAATTTAATCATATAGTTCACCTGAAAATTTTCTTTGCATGTTGCCACATTTACATCTGTTCCCCAAATCACAAGTTTTTGGCCTAGAGATGGCTCACTTGCCATTACATCTTCTGCTGCTGGCTACATGGAAAAATGACAGAACTATGTTACTAGAATTGTCCATTTTATTTTTCCCAAAAGATGTTATCTCAATACTGTATTGTCTGCTCACACCATCAGACTGCAAGTCTACTTGGCGGCCCTTGCGAGCAGATCCAAGGTCAGGTCGCTGTCTCATGGGAGTGCCCCGGGCACCACTCCGTGGAGTTCCTTCCACCCGAGAGCTGGGTGTACCATATGTCAGCGGAGAACTAATGTCAAAGTCAAGAGGAAGAACTGTAAAAATAAAATTGAAAAATTGAAATGCAATTTTGACAGTACATACAAAACAAGAACTAAAAGTGTATTCTCTGTTGATGGAGAAAACGTGGAACAATCTTAGATAGACATATTTAAAGGAAGCAATAGGTTCATTAAGAAAGAAAAAAGCCAAAATAGATGCTAGAAGTGACTATGAAATTTATTCTTGAATGTAGAATGGCTAAAGTGGGGGAGAAAACCAAACAACCCCAAACAATGAATTAAGAGCTCAGCAAAAGATGGCTTGATAATAAAGTTTTACACTGAAATGTGCAAGGACCTTTACTGTTTTAAAAGTAGATGTAAAGCACACACTTGGAATTTCTCAAGGTGAAAAGCAAATTTGAGCTCAGAGTTGCAATACTGAAGGGTTATATGGGAAAAATACTAAATGACAGAGGAAGGATCAAATGAAGATCAGAATGTGGAATCCGGATACCAAATACAGTCTATTCACTTTCATCCATTTCAGGAAGTAAGTAACACATGAAAAAGAGCTGATGATACTGAAGAAGTTCAAGCTGCACTGAAAACACTGGGAGAAAAACAAGGCTCTGGGGATTGATAAAATTGCCTCCTATGCATGCAAACACCTTCCCAAAGAAGGAAAAAACAGACCAGATACTAGCTTCTGATATCTTATCAGGAGAAACCAGCCCCTGGAGAAATACATCAAGATAAGTAAAAAGAAGTTTATGGAATAAGAGAAAACCACTCAGGGAGATGTAATAACAGTGATGCAACAGTGGGTTTAAACAGTAATGACTGTGACGCTGGTACACCACAGCACATTACAAGTGCTATCTCTATGCCCTGTTGTCCAATTTTTTTTGTTGTTGTTACTCACTAGCACTTCTGATCTCCTGAAACCTCAACCATACACTGACCACCACCCAAAACCTGGAAGACGTACTTGAAGGAGGCATCTGCTGCGGGCTGGAGAACATGCCATCCTGCGCGGCAGGGCTCTGCAGGCCCAGACCAGGTGAGGTGGGTAAGGGCTGAAGCTCTCCCGAAGTGGAGTCCTCGCCTCTCCGTCTCTGGGAGGGTGGGGACCTGACATCCTCACTTTGACCTTATAGCCGTTAAAACAGAAAAAACAAGGAGCATTTGCCTCCTTGTGGATCTCGGAACACTGGAGATCACAGCTTAACAAGGAGGAACCAAAAAGACAAAGGGGCAGAAGCACGCAGGGACTGCGGAGCGGACTCACGCGCAGCGGACGTAAGGTGGGACGTGGGGATCCGAGGGGTGGGCGGAGACTTGCACGGGGGGTGGGGCTTTGCACGGGAGCGGAGGGGGGCTGGGCGAGGGATCACGCGGGACGCGGGCTGTAGTGACCCAAGCTGTGGGAGGGGAACTCGTGCGGGACGCCGGCTGCGGCATCCAGTCGCGGGATGGGAACTCACGAGTGGGTGTGGGCGTGGACCGGGTGCGCCGGCTACCGCGGCGACTCGGGGTGGATGCAGGAGACGACATGGCGGCAGCAGGGACCTGCAGGGCAGAGCTGAGCTGAGCCAGGGGTTGCTGGCCTCCTCCTTTCCGTCAGCACTCCCGGGAGGGGATTTCAGGTGTTTCCTTTCCCGTCTGCACTCCTCGCGGGTTTCGGTCGCCACCCCTTCGCTGCTGGCCCTCCGTTACCGATGTGGGTAAGGGACAGCCACAGGCCTGGAGCCAACTTCAGCGTGCACACATTCAAGCTGCTTTCCAGAAGGGCGAAGAAGGACCCGGAACCGTCGGCGTTTGCGCGGGAAGCGCGCGGCGTCTCCGCCCCTCAGCGCGGCCCACCAATCCGAGGAGTGCGCTCGCAGGCCCTGCCCCGGGAGGCACCATCGTGCCCCTAGCCAAGTGGTTTCATCCGGGGTGGGTCTTCTCCCGCCTGGCGGGAAATCCGTGCGTAGGGCGGGACTCCCGCGTCAGGGACGTAGACTGTAGACTGTGGGGTACATTTCTTGTTTATGGGCTTAGCAGACAAACTTTCCATTTTGTAAGGGCACAGCTTTGCTGTTCTATTAGCTTGCAGGCCCTTTATTCTTTCTCATTCCTCGAACTTGTATTTAGGCGCTTCGCACATATTTGCCCATTCCCAGTGAGTTGGCCAGGTTCCATCTGTTTGTCCATAAGGTCATTATCAGTGGTAATCCATTGTAGGGCACCTAACAAGGACAGTTGTTAAATTTATTCCCAAGTATTTAATCTTGTGATTAGCTATTGTGAAAGGTATTGTTTCTCTTAGTTCTGGCTCTGTATTCTTTTTGTCATGGTAGAGAAAGCCAACTGATTTTTGTATGTTGATCTTGTATACTCCTACTTTGCTGAATTGGTCAACTACGTCCAATAGTTTTCTTGCTGAGTCTTTAGGGTTTTCTAAGTATA